ATCCACTGATCGACAAGCTTATAATTTCCTGACGAATATGAATAACAACAAATGAATACGCATAACATGATTATAATAAATTTTAGCAATACTACATGAACAAGTAGAAAATAAATATTTGCAAATAAAATTTTAAATATTTAATAATATATTTATTTTTGGCAATGGTGATTTTATAGATATGGATGAATCAATTTGGCAATGTCAACTTGTTTGTGGTAAGCCCATGATTTTGTGGGAATAACTAGAAAATTATTTGTATTGCTGAGAAATTAATTAATTTCTGTTTCGAAATCTTAGTACTATATATATATATATATATATATATATATATATATATATATATATATATATATTTATATATATATATATATATATTGTTTGAGTTTAGTTCTTGAACCTTGATATATATTTTAGGGATTTTCTTGGGCTTAGGTTCATAAAAAAAAATTGATTTGACACTACGACATTTTCATATATTATATTTCCGACGTTTCGGCAGGAAATCCATGCCTTTTTCAAGAAATAATATTGACTAAAAAAACATTTCATGACAGACATAATACGGTTTAAAAGTTAAATTTTTGACTTACCAAGCATGTAAAATACGGTACTAACAAGTACACGTCACAATTAAAATAATATTAAAAACATAGGACATACCCACTAAGTCACTACATGTAAAATGTATTTTAAATCTTATGTGTTTATTGATGTTGGTTTATCGTTTAAACAATCAGTTATTTTAACATAGGCGTTCTGAGATTGTTTTTTATGTGTTTTTAAATTAAGTTAAAATATATTTTGTTTAAATTTTTGACATCTTTTTTATCATTTATGGCGTTGTTATTTTTTTTATTTGTATAGACTCTAGAAGCTCTCTCTTCTTCTTGTTGGGTTACTTTTTAGGATCTTGGTTTTCTCAAAATCAAATTTATGTTTTTTTTCGTTTTCATGTTTTGTGAGGGCAGTTGAGTTTTTTTGTCATATTTGTGGGAACGTATTCTTGAGTTAAGTAGCTGACTGGTTTGTCCAATATAAACTCCATCACAATTCGAGCAGGGAATTCCATATACAACATGCGATCTTTTTAATAGAGGGTTTTTGTTTTACAAAACAAATGAGTACAGTACCCGTACCATGGACGTATAAATAAAGATCTTCATTTATACGTCCATGACCCGTACTCGTTTATATTGGTGATAGGGATCAGTTCCACAAGTATAAATAAAATACATGTTTCAAAGTAACTGGTACGGGATTAGGTCACCATCCCTACACGCATGTGACGTATTGAAAAGATGGTGGATTTTGGTCGGCGCAGCGATGTGCAAAAACGAGTCCACCTAGTGAGCATACCTTGTTTCCTTATATCATGCTACACACTTGCTTTAATCATATTAGAAAATCGACATGGCTTCATTTAGCGAGAATTTTTTAAGAGAGTTTTTTGAATTATATAAAGAACAAGAATGTTTATGGCGAATTAAAAGTAAAACGTATCACGATAGAAACGCCCGAAAACAGGCAATGGACATTTTAATATTAAAGTTCCAAGAAGTAAACAAAGATGCGAATGAAGAGTATGTAAGAAAAAAAAATTAACAATTTTAGAACATCCTATAAAAGAGAACTAAAATTAGTATTACAATCAAGTAAATCGGGTGCATGGACAGACGAGATTTATAAACCTAAATTGTGGTATTTTCCGTTGCTCTCATTTTTAAATGATCAGGATGTACCCCGAAGAGCTATTTCAAATCTATCTGTTGATGACTCAGTGCATCCCTTTTCATAAGCCATTCTTTGCACCAAAATCTACGTTTCATTTTAGGTTTGTTTTTACGCTTTGTTATACACAAAGCAAGAGACGCTAAAATGATTGTTTGATCTGACATGGTCGAGAACCGAACAAATACTGCGGCGCAGTACGGTGTGTGGGCGCACCAGATATGCCAACAAATTGAACAACGCCGCTGTCCGATTTTGTCGAACGACACCGTTGGACCGTGAGGTGGCCCGGCATAAGAGTAAACAGCAATAAACAGATTCAAGTACAGTACACCTTTGTGTTTAATTGACCACGAATTTTAGTTGTTTTACAATCCAGTTATTCAATTTTAAAACTGTGATTAAGAATCTCAAACAAATATATTTTAAATTGTATACATTGTAAGACATTGAAAACTTCATAATTGGGGTTCCCCTACTCGCTGCTAATAACTTTTAGTAGTTGATGCGGAGTTATTTTTGTTTAAATAAAAAAACTAAACCGATCGATCTTAGAGCAAGGAATCAAAAGCTTTGGCACAGTTAGATAAGGCACAAATTCAAAAGACCTTTCAGTTGGCCATGTGGAAAGGTCTAAGAGCGGCTTCCTTTATCTAAAATCTACAAAAGTTTTCCTGGACAAATTTTTTTCATTTTTATTATTTCTTTTGTAACTGCTTTTGTGGTTAGACGTCTCAGTCCCCAAAAGTGTTTGTTCTTTGGGCCAATTCTTGTAGTAATTTGGTTTGTTTTGTATTTTTCTTAGTGGTTACTTAAATTTAAAGCAGTACAATACAGCAAGTAATGGACATTAAGTTTGACTATATGTCCAATACTTAAAGACTAACCCTTTATTTATGATTAATTTGCTTGTAAATCTTTGGTACTGGGAGTCGCATTTATTGCCATGCGTTGATGAAGTAATACTGTAAGACTTCATCATTAAAGCTCGGATTTATAGGCAACAAAAATTGAAGAAAAAGGCGCCTATATAGGCAAAGATTTTTATTAAAAAAGGCAGGAATATTAACATTTAGGCAAAATATAGGCAATAAAGGAATATAACTTATTATTTATTGTACAAAGTAAATTAACGTAATATTAACTTAAGGCAAGTATATTTACACATCATAATCATAACATTAGTATAAATAAACTAGTAACTAAATAACTGTTAATTAATAATTAAACATTGTAACCACTTAAAATTTTATCATTAATAGAAACAACTAAATGTTTTTCAATATTTTCGGTCTTAAAACTATGTCTTCGATCACTTAAAATTAATTTGTACATTGAAAACGAACGTTCGACATCGACAGATGTAATTGGAGCATATTTCAGAGCGGATAATAAATCTGGCATAATTTGAAATTCCTCGGAAAATGTCCCATTCAAAACTTTAGCAACATTAGATAAAAACGAAAAACCTTCATTCTTGTCGAAAACATATTTCATTTTTTTAAAAATTAATTGACCGTTACTTCCAGGTGCCGATTTAATTTTCGTCTTTAAATTATCTATTAATTTTACTGACTCACATAAATTTATCTCTTGTTTTTCTAATAAGGTAATTGTGGTAACTATTAATTTATAATTGTCATTGATATAACCGAGTTCCTGTTTCAATTTGGGATTTTTTAATATTTTTTTTGCTTCTCGAATGGCTTCGGAAATATCATCATCAAATTCTGACATAACTAATTCTATTTCATTGCAGTGTTCAAAGTAAAAAAAGACTGCTTCGAGCCAGGTTCCCCACCTTGTAATTACTGGTTTAGGTGGCAAAGGGACACCGGGAAGTCTTTCTTTATATATTTGCACCCTCAACGGAGCCTTTACAAAAACTTTTTTCATAAAATTTATAAAATTATTTACCAACGGAAACAGATTTCTTATTTCTTCAGCAATTCTATTTACCCCGTGGGCTACACAAGTGCAATGAATTAAATTAGGATAAAAAATTTTTAAATTAACAGCAGCTTTTAACATATATGCCGCAGCATCTGAAAGCATTAAAACTATTTTATTCACTGGTATAGCGTTGGGTAAAAAGAGGTTTGTTAAACTATCTTGTATAAATCGACTTATTGTTAAATTGTTTGTTTTTTCCAATTCTTTAACGGCAACTAAATAAGGTTTTCTCGCAAAGTTTTCGTTCAAAATTCCAATCATTAAATTAGCTATATACCTGCCGCATACATCTGTCGTTTCATCCACGATAATATACAAAAAATTGCCCTCCAACTCGTGCTTAATTTTTGAAATACATTCCACATAACATTTTTCCACAGTATGTTTTCTCAATGTACTCTCGTCCGGTAAGGATTTATTAAGATATTTTTCAAAAAAGCGTTTAAAACTAGGGTTATTAACTTTATATAGAGGAATGTTGGATGCAATCATCATCTGGCATAAATCAAATTTAAATGCGTCTTCCTCCTTTTTTTTTTGAACTGCTTAAACTATCCCGCAGAGATGTTTGGGCTAACTTAGAGGAATTTAATTTTTCCAAATTACGTTTATGAAGTGGGGTTCCACAATGCTGGTCAATAAAGTACTTTTTTCTACTTGAAATCTGAGAATTAAAAAAAAATAATTAGAATTCTAAAACCGCTTTAGAATTTAGTTATGTTGTGGGACGAGAAAAAAAGAAAAAAAAAATAAAACTTACCGATTTGCCGCATGGTTTACAAAATGCTCCATCTCCTTCTAGAGAAAGTTCCGAATAAGGTGCGATCCATAGCCTTAATTTAGATGTCATCTTTTCACACAACTGTCTTGAACGTTTTAAAACGTGTTCTTTGCTTTTCGGTATACGCAACAAAACTAAACTAGGATATAGCAATTTGCTAATTTGTGAGTAAACTCTGATACAGTAACCGACTGTACAACTGATAATAAACTAATAAAGCTTAGGGATTTCCAAATAGTTAACCCTCAAGTCTCGATCAGGTACATTTTCCTAGAAATCTATTATATAAACAAACCATTGATATTTTATTATTGACCCAAAATTTTATTATAGAATGGTTTAGTAATAGAATAATATCATGGGTAGTACCATGAAATTTTAAAAAAGGCACAAATAGGCGGAATTTACGAAAAAAGGCAAAAAGTGCAAAAAACACTTATAATAGGCAAAATAGGCAAAAAAAGGCATTTTGCCTATAATCCGAGCTTTAACTTTCCATCATAGCTCGTACAGTTTCAATAATGTAAATCAAAATATATAAAAGTAACAATAATTTTATTCTTATTTTATTCTTACAAATAAAATACAATATGTACAACCTTAAATTAATGTTGAAATAATATCTTAACCTTCGATTTTATTTAAATACTGTTGTATTGGGCTCTAATGTATTATATTATAAAAACAGACTTCTTCCATTATCAATATAGGCAAAGATAACAAATATACACTAAAGAATTTAACGAATATTAAATTTAATTTTTTACAATATGCTCACAACCAAATAAATGTGGCTATAGGGAAACATGGACATGTTTTGTTTCTAATCTTTGCCTTAAGTCAACTTCTACATTGACTAAATTTTCTTTAACAAGATTAAATTTTGTAAAATTTTATTTTACCTCCAGCTTCGTCACGAAATCTTGTAGAAGAAAAATTAATAATATTAATACTTCCACAGAACTTTATTTTAATTACGTTGCGATTGTATTATTGGCTTATAAATATTTTTCCTTTTTCTGCTCTCACGTAATTGATAATCTACATATAGTATTAATATCTTACAATACACAACTAGAATAAAAGACTTAGTTACAGATAGGTAGATTTTGGTACAGAATAAATATTTTATTAATAAATAAGTTCTTTATTATCTGTCAAACAAAATCCAAGAAAAATAATTCCACATAAAACATCAAAAACCTTTTGAAAATACACACAGGACACAAAAAGAAATCGTGAAGAAGCAGGTGATGGATAAAGATGATAAAACCAAGTGTAAAAACTACAAAATGGTCAGGATAAAACCTGTGGAAAACTGCTTTAATTAAGCTGATTAATTTAAAACTACAATTTACTTGCTGACGTAAAGTTGCAATATGAATAACGATTGGAACAACATCCTAGAAGAACTTGTAATCCTCAATTAATTAGGATTATAAATAAATTTTGCAATACATTATAAATTTATGCTACATACAAAATCGTTGAAATTGGATAGCAAAGAAGTGTATTAATATAATATAATCTGGGTTTACGTGTTTATATAGATGGGTTATAATGATAATTCAATGAGCAATTTCACAAGAAACTAATTTGCAATTGTAAAATTCCAAAATTCCGTAATACGTCTCATATTGGTGCTGATTGAATGTCTAGACATTCCGACACGGAGTGCGGTTCGTAAACAAATGACAAGTGGAGGGTCTCATTTCTATCATCGGCTAATTCAGTGTATACGTTGTACCTATCTTTCCTAATCGCGATTAAGTACCTTCTATCTCTTAGACAATCTTTTTATTTTGAGTCACCGAGTTGTGTCGATATAAATGAGGTTTTGATGAATGCTGTTTAAAATTAATAAAGATACAAGTATTTGTAATAGAGGAAGGTCACTTAATATTAAGATAGCGCCTAAAATTGGATAGCTAATTATTTCAAAAACAAATGGAATATGGGTGCCATCTATCGACAAAAAGTTGACATATTTATGTAGTTTTAGTCATGAAATTTTTGTCTGTTTATCTTCTTAAAATTCTAACCTTTAATTTATAAATGTGCCTAATATTGGACATAGAAGTATTCTCAATATTGGATATCCAATATAAGGTTTTTTTATATATCTATACTGAAGAGCGTTTTTGTATGGCCTCTGCAATTTATGTCCCACTCAATAAGGAGATGGGATATTTGAAAGCAGCGAAAGCATACGACGTACCAGAAGCTACATTAGAATGTCATTGTAAGAAAGAAAATCTACTAAAATACCTCGAAAAATCAACTCTTGATCATAAGCCAGTTCTTCCCGAAGCATTAGAAAAAAGGTTTGGTTGAATACTGCTTGGAATTTGAAAGGAGGTTTTATGGTTTACAACCTTAATAGACATTCGCCTTTTAGCCTTTTAGTTGGCTTTGGTCGACAATTTGCCGTATCTATTTTCTAACTCGAAGGCTACAGCAGGGAGAAAATGGCTAAGGAAATTTTTTAAAGCATAACAAGACTATTTCTTTTCAAACGTCACAAGGTGTATCTGCTGCTAGAATTAAAGGATTCCCTAAAGAAAATCTTAAGAAATTTTATGATATTCTGGAACCAGAAGAAAAAAGATAAAATTTAATCCAAGCAGGATTTATAATGTTGACAAGTCCGGGATACAAGTTGTTCAACACAAGCATTACTAAAGTAGCACAACTAAAGCTATAGGCTTAAAAATAAAACACAACAAATTAGAGCATTAACAACTGTGGAAAGAGGTTCACTTGTGATGGTTGTCATATGTATAAATGCAAATGGGCATTATATTTCCTCAATGATGATCTTATCCAGGAAAATTTTTAAAGCAGAATTGTTGGATGGAGCCCCTCTTGGAGCAATTGGAAGATGTTATCCTTCTGGGTGGATTAATCCTACTTATTTACGTTGTGGATAGATCATTTTATTTCCTATACTAAGCCATCCGCCGAAGATCCTGTTATTTTAATTTTAGATGGTCACTACTCGCACACAAGAAACTTGGATGTCATTAATAAGGCTCAAGAAAATAATATCATTGTAATATGCCTACCTCCACACCTAAATGATAAGATAAAACCTTTAGATGTAGCCCTTATGGGACCTTTAAAGATATATTATTGCCAACAAATCGAAAACTGGTTAAGAAATAATCCTGGTAGAACAATTTCCCCGTACCAGATTACTGGTTTGTTTGGCAAAGCTTATTTAAGGATAGCATCAATGGAAATCTCGTTGCATGGTTTTCGAAAAAGTGGCATTATATCATTTGATAGAGATTTGTTTCGTGACCAAGATTTTGCAATCCATGAAAAGTTAGAAACTTCTCTTTTGTTGATACACAATAGTAACAACATAAATAAATTTCCAAATACTATTGAGAAGACCAAGCACATTATCATTTTACAGGACGTTTCTGTTCAACTTGTGGAATAATTACCAGGATTGATTAAATAAGCAATTTTGTAAAACCAACTGACTTAAAACCTTTGCCTGTTTTACTTGGTCCATCAGGAATTAAACGAAAGAATTCTGGTGCAGCTGCTTTAATTAGTGTATCGCATTATAAAAAGCTCTTGAAGAAGCACTATCGCCTAAAACTGCAAGCGTGTTAAGAAAGTGGTAAACTTTGACTCTAATACATGCAGAAAGTTAAAGAAAATGAAAGAAAACATAAACGCTGATACTAATTTACGCAAAGAACCCAAGCAAAAAATTAAATCCAAAAACACAGGCGTTTCTTAGATTCATGAGAGCAAAATACCCTTTGATGATTCTGAAGGTGACATGGATTAAGAAGAAGAGGATGTGAAATGCATCTACTGCCTTGAATTTGTTTCTTTCGACAATGCTGGACAACAAGGAATAGCTGCTGCAAATGCTACAGATGGTGTTATGAAGCTTGCGGTGAAGCTGACGGCAATATTAATTACATTTGCAAATTTTGTATTGTTGTACCTTTCAGAATAACTAATATCATTTACTGAAACAAAATTGATATTTTGTTATCACCAAAATAACAAATATATTGTTTATATTGTATAATTTGGGTCTTTTTTATTAGCATTTTATCATCGCCTACAGGTATTTTTAAGAGTTTAGAGTTATTTCAATCCTACTAGAACATAATAGATAGTTAGATCAATAAATTACTAAAAACAAAACAAAATTAGAATTCTTTTTTTGTAAAATGTAGCAGTTGAAAAAAATGTATCCAATATTATTCCACTTTTCTCTACCTTACTTCAGTTGTTGATTCATAAGGTTGAATTACGATCATCATTTTCTCTTTAGGCAGCAAACCGGAGGCTAGGTTATTTTTTATATTTAATCAGCCAATGTATAATAGATTACTTATATACAATCAAGTTTTTCAATAAACAGTTTTGTAATAATAAAGTTTCATGGAAGTACCAGCAGTATGAATTAACAACAAAAATATTTAATCATTTTAATCAATTAATTTTTGACCGTTGATTTTTTAATCTCGGTATCAATTTCGTAGTCAGGCTCACTCGCTACTCCAGTGTCGTAGTAAGCATAGTCGTAGTCTTTCTTAGGGGGTGCGGGTTTTTTGTTTACCACTTGAGAACTGGTCTTAGGTGATTCAGTAGCTTGCGAAGTTCGGGATGAGTCTTTTGTTGCTTGTGGAGTGGATGGGAAAGATCTAGAAACATCTTTTGTTGCTTGAGGCGTTGATGGGTAAGTTCTTGGGACGTCCTTTGTTACTTGGGGCGTTGACGGGTAAGTTCTTGGGACATCCTTGGTTACTTGAGATGTTGAGGGATAAGTTCTTGGAACGTCCTTAGTGACTTGTGACGAAGACTGGTATGTTCTTGGAACATCTTTAGTTACTGCGGTTGATGGATATATTCTGGGAGTATCTTTAGTGACTTGGGAAGTGGAGGGATTGGTTCTTGGAACGTCCTTAGGAGTGGATGGATAGGTTTTAGGAACATCGTAAGTTGTTCGTGCAGGTTGCGAAGCTAATTGAGTTGTCTGTTGTTGTTTGTTGTTGCTCGTTCTTTGTAACTCGTTTCTGCTGGCTGCTATGTTTTGGCTGTGAGCAGTTTTAAGGAACTCGTCATCTCGTCTGTCGCCATCGTAGTCGTACTTCGAGCTGTACGATCCATCGTCGTACTGAGTCTCGTCAAAGCGGCTCGATCTAAAATATAAAATAGCGATTATTTATTTAACAAATGAACAACTTTATAGTACAAGTAAAAGTATGAGTTTAAGTGAAACTGACTTGGAAATATTCCTGTTCCAAATTTTTGAGTTAAAAATCCAATTACTAAATCGAATCCATCACATATTATAAAAAAAAAAGTTAATATACTATTATAAGCAGATTAATTAATTTAGGATTTTGGGAAATTTTATAATGGGTATTTTAATTGATATAGACGTAGAAACAATAAATGAGGCTTAGTTAAATGTAGATGATTTTGCGATGCAAACGATTTAAGGTTTAGGTAGTTCCATTACACTCTTCTTCAAAAGAAGATTTGCTAGGCAGAATATCCGTCTGCGTCTAGTTCATCTCTTGCCCTCAATCTTAGTTAGTTAAATGATACAATTTGTAAACTTTTTGTTACTATTTTTCTCAGGTATAAACTGCTAATTTTCTAGTTACACTACTCCCACAAAATTAACCGAAAATTAAGTTTATTTTAAGTTAAGGTAAAATATATATTAAAGTATAAGTAGATATTGAGGTCTTTAAAACACGAGCGCTTTGTTCAGCACGACGCTCTATGGACATAGCATTCTCTAGGTCTTTTCGACACTTTTTGGTGGACCATTACATGAATTATCTCGTAAAACGTGATCCATATCCCAATTGGCCAAAGGGCCAAGTGCGTCTAGCATGTACAGATAATAAATTTTGTTTAAATAGGTAAAGAAATAATAATAAGACTTACTCACAATCAATTTAATTTAACAATCAGACGACCGGTTTCGCTTTCTACAATTTGCAAAGCATCTTCAGGTCTAGATACAAAGTTAAACTAATGCTGCAATAAAATAAACCCAATTAGGGTGGTGTCTAATAAAGATAAAATAAACAAATAAGTTATGTTCATACAAATTATAGTAATTATGCCAATATTACATGTCTGTGGTTTTCAAAATGAATAATTTAATATAAATAATATTAACAAAATAAATCACAATATAAATAAATATATAAATAAATTAAATAAATGAAATAAATAAATAAATAAATAAATTATATACACATTATAAGATAGCTCAGGACCGACAATTATTTCAATAAAAAAATTTTCAGGCAATTTGTAAATTTGTTATACCTTTCAATTACAAGTACACTTGTTTGCATTTACTAAATAATCATTTTAATTTGTTCTGAAAAATTCAGACTAAAATTGGTTAGTTATAATAGATGATGTATTTCAATTATTCACATTGTTACATTAAAAAATGTTTTGAATTTGAAACTTATTAATTAAAATTGTTAAAGTATGCCAATATTAAACACATCAATTTACTTTTGATTTCTAAATTAAAACAAATTTTGAGACATTCATTAATATCAACATACTCCATAATACTGAAATAACTAAACTTACAGTATTTAGTAATAGAAGAAGAACTGTCACACTTCAACCTACATATGTCAAATTTGCCTCTTAAATCTAATAGATTAAATATAAAAAAACTCATTACTTCCAACACTGAGATGTAGTGCTTGCAGTTTCTTCCATTCCCCAAGTTTAAGTTTTAAATTCAATGTTTGTCCCGTCATTTAGTGTTTCTGTTCCTGTTAATGTGTGTTTAATTTGTCCCTGATTGTCTTAATTTGTAATAATTTTATATACTTTTTATATACTTGACTTTACAATAATTGATTAATTTTGCCAATAGACTTGATAATTACAAGTCAAAATAATTGCACAACCACACAATCGGTACAGCTACTCTTATTCATTGTCATAAAACTGTCTCCTTCATAACATAAATACTCAATAAATAACACACATTCCAAAAATATATCTCTGATATAAGTGTAAATAATTTAAATAATACAATAGTAAAGAACATCACTTTCATTTGACAAACAACCACAATATACCTATCTCTAATTCATTGGATCAAATCTGTTCTCCTCAAGAACTTCCCGTTTATTGTCAAAACAACTGCAATAGCACATTAAAGTTCTCCAATCAACAATACATGATTTTTGCAACCATGACCTACCATCCATCAATTAATAGAGTACCGGCATGTAAGTAATGTTTGTTTTGTTTTATTTATCTGCTCATTTATTAATTTATTACAATATAATATTACTACTTTATACCAATTGTGGGTCTTACCTTGTCTGTTAATACCTTTTATATATTCAAATTTATTCATTTTGAAAACCACAGACATGTAATATTGGCATAATTACTATAATTTGTATGAACTAACTTATTTGTTTATTTTATCTTTATTAGACACCACCCTAATTGGGTTTATTTTATTGCAGCATTAGTTTAACTTTGTATCTAGACCTGAAGATGCTTTGCAAATTGTAGAAAGCGAAACCGGTCGTCTGATTGTTAAATTAAATTGATTGTGAGTAAGTCTTATTATTATTTCTTTACCTATTTGATATGGACTCACACAAGCAACACATTCATGATTTAAATTTTGTTTAATTTACTATTCCATATCCAATGAATCTATGGTACCATGAATGTATGTGAGACTCTTAATCAAAGCTGTAGCAGTAACCGTTCGCTCTCGAATCACATGAAGTCTAATAAACCGATTTTTGATGGCCTTAATTGTCCTTGGTCTTTCCTGTCTAGATGATTTTGGGTCAGAACAAGTTTCTTAAAATCTTGTACTTGTACTTGTAATGGAATACTATTATACTCAGTCCAACAGATTACGTTATTAGATTTGGCCTCATTGTAAATGATTCTTTAATATTTAAAACAATTTTCTTTCCAGAAATAGTAACCAACAATACAATTATAACCGAACCGAACCTGTAATACCAGGGCCACACTAGCTGAAGTAAAGTCCGCAATTTCATCCCTAAAAAACCATAAAGCCCAGGCGCAGACGGCACAAAAAATGGGGAAAAAAGCTCACTTGAGATATATCTCTTAATAAGAGAGTCTGGAAAAGAGAAGAAATCCAAACACTGCTGAAAATATATAGTACCTATTCACAAGAAGGGAGACAAACCAATATGTCGCAACTATAGAGGAATATCGTTAATCAATACAACGTACAAAATTATATCCATAATACTCCATACGCAGATATTTTTCATATGCCAGGTGTTGAAAAAAGCTGGGAATTCAACCGCGATGTACACCAAATCCTCGTGGACTTTAAACAAGCTACGATTCTGTTAGCAGAGAAGTATTGTGGGAGTACCTGGAAAGTTGGTACGATTAGCACAGGTGAGCACAGAGAGGCTTCGCACGGATCAGAATTGGCAGCACCACGTTGGAGAATTCCTCATTGACACTGGCTTACACAAGAAGATTCTCTCGCTCTTGTTATTTAATTTTGCACTTGAACATGTGGTAAAAATAGCGTAACCATAACTGACAAACGGATTGTCGCCCAAGGATCAAAAATACTATTGGCGTTTACGAATGACATGGGAGACAATTGCACAATCCACCAGAGATGCAAAAGAAGTTCACTTATTCTAAACCGGAGCCAAGAAAGTTGGTCTAAAGGTCAACGAGGACAAGACCAAATTATATGGTGGTTACGAAAAACCCAAGGCCAAGGGTAGACAAAAACGTAACAATCAATATAACTTTGAAGTTGTCAGAGAATTCAAGTACCTGGGAGAGTTCATAACATCTGAAAATAAATATGAAAAGAATGTGGCAGCCAGGATCATTACAGGAAACAGGACATAATACTCATTAATGATCGTACTTAAATCAAAAATAGTGTCAATACCAGCAAGAATAACAGTGTATAAAACAATAATTAGTCCCACAATAACGTATGGAAGCGAGACATAGACTTTGAAACAGCGGGAATCGACAACATTACTGGTACTGGAAAGAAAGATACAGCGGACTATCTATGGGCCTTGTAGAAAAGATACAACAGGAGAATGAGAATAAGACACATTGATAAAATCCAGACAGTATCTGGAAATGAAAAGAGTTAACATGTGCAGTTAGATAAATTAAACAGTAAATGGAAAAGGTAGTAAATGCTGTTAAAAAAATCCAAACGTACTCGTGGTTACTTCTTCTCAACTGCACTAAAGTTTTCATATTTCAGGTATATTAAAATATTTTAATATTCCTTTAACAAAATTTTAACAAAATTTTTATTTTTTGTTTAATGAACAAATTTACAAAATTTTTTCATAAAATCTTTTTTGAAGGTTTGAATCTTTCTTCAAATAGTGTTTTAAGATATCATTAGTACTCTCACCAATGAATAGTGTGTAAATGTAAATTTTCCAATTTTAGTTGCATGATTTAATCGATTTAGGAGGCTGACATAAAGAAAAAAGATATGTGAAAGCAAATAAAAGTGTTAAATGTTTTAATTTAATTAAGGTGACATAAGCAAGACACCACAAGTGATTTATTTAAGGTAAATCTTACCTTATTATTTTTATATAGAGTAAATCATCTGAAGATCTGGATAATTTAAATTGGGACCTATAGTGATTTTAAATAATGTAGGGCTTTGTCGAATATTTGTATAGTTCAATTTAATGTAAGAATCATTTGATAAAAGACTAAAATTTAACAACTGTTACTTTATTTAATTATTTAACATAACTCTTTATCCACCGGAACAATTTATTATTTCTATTGTGATGGTAATAATGTTTGAAAAATTATATCACGTTTCCTTGGAGGTCGGACTAAAGATTAATATGATCAAGACGTAAATAATGACTAATCTGGTGCTAAATCGAAATATTGCTGTTGATGGAAGGGGTTTTGTGCAGACTTCATCGTATAAATACTTAGGACATGTAATTCAGTTGAGCGTCAGTTTCAACGCACTCGCAACTCCCTAGTCAAAACAGAATACAACCGTCTGTCTGCGGTGATCAAACTACAGGTTAGCAATCTGCAAGCCAGACAATGGATTGCAGCTACCTCTACTCTTGATTATCGCGACGGATGCACATTTTGTAACAAACTCAAATGCCTAACGAAACAGAAAACCAACAACCCCTCTCACACAGTGAACTTTTAGGTCGGAAACCTACCTGATCTACCGGTATTGGTTCAAGTAGCTTTGGCCTAATTCTGTTGTAGATCAGTCATTCTAGTAGTTTGATTGTCGTCCATAGTAGGGCTATTGGTCTGTAGTTAGAGTTGTTATTATTGGCTTTGCCTGGTTTTAATATGACAATGATCTTTTGAGATCAACGAGCGTTTGAGTTCCTGTGGTATGGTACCAATCTTCATAATGTCTGTAAAAAAGTGGGTCATCCATTCTCTCGCATATTTGCCGGTGTTTATTAGTAATTCGGAATAAGTATTGTCAAAATCCTGGGCTTTGCCTGGCTTTACATGCTTGAGAGCTATAGTGCCTTCTTCACAAGTAAAAGGAACGAAGTATTTAGTTTCTGTAGATCGGAATTTTAAAGTTTTGAGCGCTCGTTTTACCTTGATTGACTGTGGCTTGTCTTTCGGAGCACTAGATGTCGATATCACATGTGAGGCAATAGTGTTTGGGTTAATGTTGTTTTGTTTCTTGTTATGGGAGTTCGCTTCCTAATTTTCCTAGTAGTGTCCATGCTTGCATACTTGATGTTTAAAAATTAGGTCTTTCTACAGTTTCCGTCCATTTTTGTTCTCTCACTGCATCTAGGCTATGGAGAAGTTCATTGGCTTAATTCTTGATCGCCGCTTTCAACGAAATTTTGGTACAGTCTTCGCTGTTATCGGACCAACCAGGAAGTTATCTGCCTTATCCAGCCTAAAGTCTTGGTTTTTTTACATTTAACCGTGGGCGAGGGATGGATGTGATTATAGGAATCTGGGTTCCTGTTTCTATGATAGCAGGGCAGTGTTGGCTATGTAGGAAGTCCTCCATTACTTTTTGAGAGACTGCTAGAGGTTGCTCATTTTTATTAGTAGAGACAAAACATAGATCAGGATTGTACTCCTTCTTCCAAGCTTGCTGACATGAATGTAGCATCAACTTAAGTGATAGATGTTCGTCCTTCGCACATTTTACTAGTGCATTACCATTGCTGTTGCATTGTTTACATTTCCACTAATCATGGTAACTGTTGTAGTCCCTTCTGTATATTGACGGGTGCGAATGTGTATGGATGACTTGAGCTAGCCAGAATATAGCTAGTTTTTTGTAGGTGTTAGTAACGGTGATGCTTTCAATTTTTACAACAAAATTGTGAATTTCACATTAGTGCACGTGGAAACAAGGAAAGCGTTTTCTATGTTTTGTTTAACGTACATTGCAGTGCCGTATGATTGATGGGACGTAGCACCGAGTAGTTCGAAGGCAGGTATATTCCCCTCTGTTTCGCAGTTGTTTTAAGTTTCGCAGTGTGTTTCCTGTAGAGCTACCAAGTCGATGTCGTTATCTTTTTGCAATTTTGATAAAGTACTGGCTCTTTAAATAGCATATGCTTTCCACATTTTTGTGAACAAATTGGGATCATAGGTCCGAGTTTTCTAGTCATTGGGTCCTGAGAAAGTCCATTTGTATTATTGTTAATTTGTCTTCTAAATGTCTTGAAGAAAATGTGGTACCTCACATGCATTTTGTAGGTGAACATTTTCTCCCAATACAGGATGTGGCTCAGGTGCACAAAACCAGGGTAACAATGTATCACTTTACGGGTATTGCTAGTCGGGTACAGTCTGTACTCCTAAAGGTCCAGACTTAACCTCATGAGCATTTGTAGGACAACTTGAAAAGAGTAGTTAGACAACAGTTTGTTTGTCTAACACTCGTTTACCAGCGCCTGTTTTAGTGCTATCACAGTTTTAAACTTGCCATACGTACTATTACTTTAATCCAGTCTACGCCATATCCTCTCACGTATGGTGTTTCGTGGTTTATCGGGCTCATAGAGACTTTTCACATTCCATGTGCCTATTTTCATGCCTGATTTTATTCTTATATTTTTTCTATTCGTACAGAGATTTTGCTGGATAACGGCCTGGGAAGCCCTGTGCGCTTGTTTTCTCCTGCCAGATGTTAATATCCGAGAACCATGATCAGTATAGAAGAAAATTTATATTGATCAAGGTCCTATCAGTGTCATTAATAAATGAACAAAGGAATAATAATGAAGTCGTTTCTTGTTTACTTACTAATAATTGTTCCAAATTAGTTTACGGTATAAAAAAGTGGGGTATAAATGGTAAAGAGCAACATAGAAACCAAAAAATTTTAATTTAGAAATTTGGACGGAAAGCTGCCAGTTTTAGCGTATATATGCATAGTTTATATTACTGTTTAAATCCTAAACAAATTAAAAATTACTTTAATAATCATTCATTTTTAAATAGCAGAGATGAGAAGTTTATGTTCAATTTTATAATACTTTTAACAAACTTGTTAATATTGATTTATTAGGTATTTAAATTTTAGTCTTTTTATACAAAAAAAAACTTTAAAATTTTAAAATAATTATCGACTTACCTGCTGACAGGAGTTGTTGAACTGAGCTTGGGTACAGTTGGTGTGTACTGGGTAAAAGGTGTGCTTTTTGGCGTACTGTTGAATGAACTGGGACTGTTTTGTGAACTTTGTCTGTTCTGGTTGTAGGTAGAAGTTTGCTGAGCAATCTGACTATAGGCGGCATTGGTTCTTGGTGCAAACGTCGTAGGGAAATTATTGTTGGAAACGCTGAAGGGCTTAGGGTTTAAAGTTGTTGGGTAGTTGTCGTTTTGTTTGAAGGGAGTGGTGGGTTTCTTTTCAAAATTGCTTGTATATTTAGGGTTGTTACTTGGATAGTTTTCGGTCCTCTCAGAGCCTGATTTGAACGTTGGCTTGGTTTTTGTGGATTCATATTGGCTTACGGTAGTCTTTTGAGTGTTGTATTGTGTTACGGTACTACTTGCTGGTTTTACTTTTGGTATGTCGTATTGACTGTTATAATCTTGAGCTACAGTTGATTTTACTTTGGGTATGTCGTAATTGTCATCGTAGTTAGTGCTTTGCTTAGGAGCCGCCGAAGTATACTGTGCATTGTTGGTACTTCTGCTAGGTGGCGAGTTGTATTGTTGTTGCCGGAATGGAGCTGGAGTACTAATTGTGTAAACAGGGCTATCAGTGTATTCGCTTGTTTGTGGACGTCTTTGACCATTTCTAGATTTGTAATTGTTGATAGCTGTAGAATATTGCTCGGAGTTTAAGGTAGTTGAAGTTGGTCTAGAGGTTGTTGGTTCATAACTACCTGCGAAGTTGTTAACAAAGCCAGTAAATTTGGTTACTGGGCGTCTTGTTTGAGCAGTTTGTGTGTTTTTATTGTAATCATTGTTATTGGTATTATTATTTTGGTTTCTATTGTAGTCATTGTTCTGGTTTCTATTAAATTCCGTATTTTGATTTTTATTATAATCGGTATTTTGGTTTCTATTATAATCGGTATTTTGATTTCTGTTATAATCATTATTTTGGTTTCTATTATAGTCATTATTTTGATTTCTATTATTATCATTGTTCTGATTTCTATTGTAATTGTTATTTTGGTTTCTATTATATTCATTATTTCTATTGTTGTAGTCATTGTTTTTGTTTTCCTTTCTACTGTAATCATTTTGATTGTTTCTGTTGTATTCATTGTTCTGATTTCTATTATATTCATTGTTTTGATTTCGATTGTATTCATTGTTTCTGTTAGCGTTTTGGTTGTTTTCATTTTGTTCGTTTCTGTTTTGAACAGGTCTTCTAGATTTGTTTCTTACAACTTTACGCTTCTGTTCATAGTCTTGATTCTGGTTAATATTTACATTATCATCGTAATCTTCGTCTCTTTCCTTACCGTTATTTCTATTATTATAGAAATTAGAACTGCTAGAACTCTTGAAAATTTCTCTGTCATTGTTATTGTTGTTATTGTACTTTTGTCTGGGAGCAGTACTGAAGCTTTTCGGTTGCTTAGTTTGATCTACAACTTTTGCCTGTTGCTCACGGTTGATTCTAGCGTCGCCTGTCTCAGCTCGTTGGAGCGCAAGGTCTCTTCGTCTTCTCCATATTTATGGGGTTTGGATTCAAATCCTAAATAAAAATAAGTATTAAAATATTTAAAATTAAAGTTTTATTTATTATTTTTAAAATATTTTAATGAAGTAATGAATAACACAAATAATTTTAAATTTACACATCCTGTGTACATACGTCAAAATAACTGTCACAATAGTTTTAATTTTTTCTGAGTTTTCCCAAAAAATATTGCCTTGTTACTACAGTTGAAGGCATCTGACCTCGTCGTGTTTTTAATGTAGTGTTTACCAATATAAATTCGTTTATAGCAAATAATAAAAAGTTGATTTTAGGAAACAGGCAGACTCTATTTTATAGAGTATGGCAGGTATTGGAGACGATCCTGGCGGTCCTGGTCCACCCTCTATTAATATAAATAAGGTGCTAGTTTAATATAAACAATATCCTCAAACGTAAATAATTATGACTTTAATAATATATATCAACCAACTGATTCAGGCCCTTATCAGGTATTTTTAAAAGATACTAATAAAAAACTCGGTGGTCTTTTCTCCATAAGAATTGGATTTTATTTACAAGTAATTAAATTTAGAAACAATGTTATTGATATTTTTAGACAAGAGGTTGCAAAAATTGAAATGGAGATTTGCCGGACACAATATAAGACAAGAAGAAGATGGAACAAAATTCTTATAAGTTGGAGACCGTGGGAATATAAACGAAGCGGAGGAAAGCCCCAAATAAGATGGGCAAATGATATCAAGAAGCACGTGGGCTCTAGGTAGATGACTGTAGCGACAGACAGAGAAAAAATGGAAAAGTATTGGGGAGGCCTATGTCCAAAGATGGACCGAAGAAGGCTAATTAGATAGATAGATAGTTATTGATATTCATTCTTTAGGTTTAAAACGTGTTAAAGTCATTTTTAGAACATATAAATATTAATACTACAGAATCTCTCTGCACTCTCTGATGACTCTGCAAATTAGTTAAACTGCAAATCCAAGCTTACTGAAACTATTGGAGGATATTAAGTATAATCTTTTATTCCAACAACACATCTATAGTTTACCCATGAAAACACCATTTTTTGCAAGTTTTACGTAGAAAAAAGACATTTAAATGAAAGTAGATAATTGAATGACGGATTTCGCAAACCATAAGTTTTAAAGTTTTTATTATTAGACTCTTATTAGAAATACTTTTTAGTTTCACCACAACTTGCTATTTTCTCCTGCTGCCTACCAACAGGAGAAATGATTGAGTATTACTAATTTTCTTTTATATTAGAACAAAGAAGCCAAAAACACAAATAACAGAAGACAGTTACACACAATACTGTGCAAACAACGTACACAATGTACTGACATACATAACAGAAGACAAGAAAATCCTATCATTACAGGTTGATGACTAATAACAATACTAATAACAAAAAAGGTAGAGCGCAAACAATAAACGACAAAAAGGAGTATCTCGACGAAGTTAAGGCACTCACTTAAGCAGCTGCCCTCAAGAAATCAGATAACGGAATCTAGAGGCAATTTTTACAGTTTGCCTTAAAAATTTCAAAGAGATCTCTATCAAGAGCATAATGTAAATCTAGACCTAATGTTAACGCCAATCAAGACCTAAAAGTACCCAAAGAGTCAATAAACGAAGCAGCAGAAGTCTGAGAAGTAACGTTAAAGATGTTTTACTGGTTGGAGATGCTGCGAAGATGTTGCAGAGTAACAAGAATGGATAGGAAAAGTAATGACCAAATAAAGCAAAGAACATCAATAGACTAAAGTGGTATGGAGATGTAAGAAGAACTAGCGACAGCAGATGGATAAAGCGAATAACCGAATGGAGCCCCATAGGAAGGAGGAAAAGAGGACGACCCCGAAGATCATATAAATGATATCATTTATCACACTTTGCGGACACCTGTGTCAATTAAAATTAAGTAATAACAGCATACCTATATTGTAATTTGCACAATAGAGTTTTAACAACAGGAATAGAACTGATCAGTTGCTTTTAAATTCTCAAGCAGCTCAAATAGGTTTTAGTATATAGCACGTTCTCTTTTATAAACGTTATAGGTACGAACATTTCTTTTTTGCCTATGGTTAGTTTTTTAACCAGGTGGAGTAAACTAAAAAGACAGATTTACACCCAAGAAAGTTACTAGAAAAGTCACCAAATACATCTTATTTTTTGGTTAATTATCTCGGCCTTCCGGCAATCTAGTAATCGGTATCGGACATCCTTACACGTCGACTATAACCCTTACTTTGTTTGTTTTTGTTTGAATAATAATTTTTTACATTTCACTTCCAAATAAATATATTTTTTGTTAACTCATTTCGTCTTTCATTGCAAAGATAGAAGGTCGACTGCCAATATTTTTAGGACATCTCACTGTTCCAGTCTGCTTATATTCCTTAATTGTTCTGTAAATGTGTAGTTGAATTCGCAACACCTAAAACTAGCACAATACTTTAGTAAGGTTTGACTTTAACAACAACTGTTCTGCAAAACTAACTTGTTGCCTGTTTTATTTTTCCTAGCATGTCTGTTATTTTCATTTCAGGATTATCAATTATTTTTATTTGTTTGTACATATTTATAATGCATTGTTTTTCATTTGATGATAAATTACCCAAAACTACTCGGCGTTTTGATGAAGAAGGATAATTACAACTAGAAGAGGAACCGCGGTAAATTCGGACCCTTGCTGATAATTCGGACCCCTAGTACAGTTTCGTACAGAGGTGCTGCTGCCGATGGTAAAAAAGCGTAAACCTTTCCTGACATTGCTTGATGTCCAGGCTCTGCCTCTGTTCAATTAGTGATTGAGTTTCAGACACTGATGAGGGATTTTTATTTTTGTGACTCCTGGAATATTTGCAGTGTTCTTGTATCAACATTTCCTACGACAGTTCTCAAGAAGGTAGGAATCTAATGCTAAGTAGTATGTACTAAATAAGTTAGTGTAGTATTTAAAGTAACGGTAAAACAATTCTACCGCTAAGTTTTTGAGTAAGGTTAGTTTTGATTTGGACTTGTTATTTAATAATGCCGACCCTTTGGCGTTTTTAATTCGGACCCCTTTTATTTCTAATTTGGGCCCCAATACAAACGTTCCATTATTAAAAACTAATTCCGAATGGTATATTTGTAGATTAAAAAAATATGCCGAAGACTACCAAAGAAAAGAAGAAGAAGAGGAAAATATGACAAAGGCTATAGAAGCAACTAGGCCAAAAAGAGTAGAAAGGAAGAAGGCTGCCAAGATTTTGAAGTACCCAAGACCAGGCTGATGCGTTTGCCAATGGAAAATATACAGAACCAGCAAAAGCAGCTTCTGTTAGGGCAGAAAGGCCTACTGTCCTATTCTCGAATTGGAGAAACAGTTGGTTAAGTATTGTTTGGTCATAGAATCTACATTTTTTCTTTTACTAGGCCAGACCTTCAGCATATAGCATACCAACTTGCTGAAAGGAATGGAATAACGCATCCTTTTGTTAAACACAACATGGTAGGTAAAGTGTAGCTAGACCTATTCATGAAAAGGCATAAGGGCAGACTTTCAATTTGTAAGCCAACAGGAACCTTATTTGCAAGAGTTGTAGGTTTTAACAAAAAAAAAATGTGTACAACAGCTATCCAGGAAACAGAATTTTCAAATTTGATGAAAGTGGCCTTACAGTAGTTCAGAGTAAAGTTGAAATACTCATTGGTCTCAGAGGAAAAAGAGAGGTACGCTCTTTTACATCAGCAGAAAGAGGTGCCTTAATAACAATTGTAGTCTGTATGAGTGCTAGTGGCGACTATGTTACACCCATCGTGATATTTCCTCAGAAATATATAAATGCTCAGTTACAAAAAGAAGCTCCTCCAGGTACTGTCTTTCAAGTGCAATCATCAGGATGGATTACAACAAAACTGTTTACAAAATGGTTCGACCTATTTTTGAGTACTACAAAACCTACAACTAAATCACCTATTCTCCTAGTTTTTGACGGGCATTCAAGCAACACCAGAAATATTGACATAATCGGAATGCTAAGCAGAACCATGTTTCAATCATGTCCTTACCGCTTCATTTAACTCATAAGTTGCAGCCCTTAGATAAGTCGTTTTGTCTCCTTTAAATACTTATTACAGTCAGATTAGGAAATGGTTGTTAATAAACCAACGCCATCTTACAGCATTTGACGTAATGTAGCTGTTTAGCAAGGACTACATAAAGTGTCAAACTGCAGAAACAGCCATCAATGGGTTTAAGACAGTAACTGGCAATTTTCCACTGGATAGAAACAAGATTTCTGATGCCGAGTTCATTGCAAAAACCCAAAAAGAAAAGTCTATTGATCTAGATGACAACGACTGTACATCTGATGATCCTGTTGAAACTTTTTTCAAATAACACACTGGATGAGGAAAATCCCAAATCTTCTCACCTGGTTACACATTCTCTTTTATGGGTTGCACACGAACAAGCGTCCACCTCAACTCAGTTGGTACAACCTCCAGCTACCTCTGCCAATGCCCTGATTAAGAAAACTTACAGAAAGAGTGTAAAAAGCTAAACCTAGCTCTCAGGTCAAGAGACAATTAGATTTTGACATACACGAGGGATCTTCATCTGAGAAAGAAGATCATTTGTCTCTGAAATCAGTCTCTTCAATCAGATTTGTTGTAGGATCAGTACAAACACCGGATGAATCGGATGTGACCGATTGTACCAGTGCAGTAAAAGATGATTACATATGCGACTTCTGCCAGTCAACTAGATTCAAACTTAGAACAATCATAGGCCTAAGCCTCATGAAAAAGCTAATTTATTTTGAAATTTTTGTATTTGTCACTTAAAAAGTCAGATTTGTACACATTTTATAAATCAATCTATTTTTAAAATGAAATAAATTTATATATTTATTTATCTGTGAATTATTTCTACACCAGCCATATTCCATTAGATTTCTAGGGGTTATGAAATACGAGTGAAAAACCGGGTTCCGAACTTACAGCACTTTTTTTAAGTGCCTATTTTGTAAACTTTT